GATAGAGAACGGAGTAATCAATGGATTCACACAAGTATTCAACGGCACAGAAGTGGACACATATTTGGGTATTCCATACGCGGAGCCACCGGTCGGTGACCTCCGCTTCCGAAGACCAGTGCCGGCGAAGAAGTGGTTCAATGTATTTAACGCAATAAATTGGCCCAACGATTGCTATCAATCAAATTTGACCCTAATGTCAATGCAAGGCACAGTCCGTCAAAGCGAAGATTGTCTGTATATCAATATATTTGCACCAAGATCAAAATCGCTAACTATGAAATCACTTCGACCGGTGATGGTATGGATACCCGGTTTTATTATGGGCTTCTCCAGTGATTTCAATCCAATTGTTTTGGCCATTAAAGGAGATGTAATCGTTGTTACCATTAATTATAGGTTTGGTTTTAATTCATTTATAAACCAATAATTATTTTCACAGTATTTATAATGTTATGTAATATAAAGATTGGGCGCTTTGGGACTGTTTTATTTGGGAACAGATGACGCGCCCGGGAATACACTACTATGGGATCAGATATTAGCCCTTCAATGGGTTCAGACAAATATCATCCGATTTGGTGGCGATTCCGATAGAGTGACTATATTTGGTGTGGGAGTCGGCAGTGTCTCCGTCGGCGCTCACATCCTATCGCCCGTCAGTCGAGGTTTGTTTCGAAACGGTATAATGATGTCCGGATCGGAGCTAACACACAGAGCTGTAGATTCACCCGAAGTTGTCCGCAATTATTGGTTAAATCAGTCAATACGGATCGGTTGCGGGTCTAAGAGTGACCACAGATTTACGCTGCAAATAATGGATTGCCTGCGAAGAGCACCGGTAGAGAGATTGATATCAATGTCTATAGCAATAAGTGATAAAATTGGTCCGCTCTTTGTCATCGATGGAAACATATTTACCAAAAGTGCCGTAAAAATGCTAAAAACAGGAGTTTTTAAGGAAAATGTCAATTTGCTTATTGTAAACACAGAAGACGAGGGATCAGTACTATTGGCACTATTTATCGTCAATAAAACTTTTAACAAAATATCACCAAAACATTTTACATTCAATGAAGAGTTTGAATAATTAGTACAATTAATTGGTAAATTTAATTAGAGTAGCAAAATCTCTAATACAAAATATTATTATCAGCAAGTGTAAAATTATTTATTGCAAACTATTAATTAGACTGCAAAATAATTAATAAATATTATGTGCTAAATTAATTAAATGTAATTATAAATAAAATTTATATCAAAATCACACTAAAAAGTGAATGAATTTCAGCGAATTAAATTCATAGTACACCATGATCAATTTATAAAAATGACAACATTTTCTAGGAATATCATGAAATGATTAAAATGAAAAATTATATATTTGATAATATGATCACAATTTAAAATATACTTGAAAACATAAATATAATTAAATAAAATAGTAATTACATTAATACACATACGTAATTATTTATGATAATATCTGTACAATGAACGGCCGTACTGAACGAGGTTCAGTAACTAAATACAAATAATTAATATTATGCAGTATATTGTATATTAAAAATTTCAAATTATTGGTATATTAAATACAGTACACTTGCACTCAATCGTGAGTACGTTTAAGTCCTTTGTCTATAAATACAAATTATATTCAAATATATTATTAATTATGAATTTATTGTAAAAATATGTAAATTTTTTGTATACATTTTGTTAATATTTTATGTATTCATTTAAATGTTTCTTGATTATTGTTAAATTAACACTAGTAAACTCAACACATTATGTTTAAATTGAGATACATTTTTAGCTATATTTTACACATTTAATTACTAAAATTAAAGTAGACATTCATTATCATAAAAAATCTTAAATTTTACGAGTGTAAAAAAAATTTCAAAGTGTTCTTGAGCACTTGCATATTAAATATATTGATTTTATAATAAACAAAATGTATTATATTTACCTGCATTTTAAATACACAAGATAATTTTAGTGCAATGCAAAGTTTACTTACACTTTGTTAGTCCTTAATGTTACATTCTAACAAATGTACAGTACCTTGTATCTTTGAAACACTATCATATAATATACTTTATATTTCAAGTGTTTTTCATTGAGTTAATCTTTATATCATTTGATATATAAACGACTTGTTCATCAATACAATCATAAATATTAATTTTATAAGTTGTTATTTGAATTCACATTTTATACAAAATGCTATTCAATAATATTTTCCAATTTTTATTTATATTTATTATTATAAATATTATAAAAATTAACGCAAAGAGTGTTAGCGTTTCGATAGAGAACGGAGTAATCAATGGATTCACACAAGTATTCAACGGCACAGAAGTGGACACATATTTGGGTATTCCATACGCGGAGCCACCGGTCGGTGACCTCCGCTTCCGAAGACCAGTGCCGGCGAAGAAGTGGACNATACTCGGGAACAGATGACGCGCCCGGGAATACACTTCTATGGGACCAGACGTTAGCCCTTCAATGGGTGAAGAAAAATATCGGTCACTTTGGCGGAGATCCCAATAGAGTGACTATATATGGCGAGAGCGCTGGCAGTATGTCAGTCAGTGTTCACATACTATCACCTAATAGTCGAGATTTGTTTCAAAACGCTATAATGATGTCCGGATCGATGCTTCTCTATGGAGGCGTCGATACACCAGAAAATGCACTCAAATATTGGTTAAAACAATCGCAACAAATCGGGTGTTCAGATGAAAGTGACCACAAGTTTACACCAAAAATAATGGATTGCTTGAGAAAAATGCCGATTGAAAAGTTGGCTGCAATTCCTTTTAGTCCATTCATACCATCGGCTGATAAGTTAGATGTCGTTCCCCTCTTTGTCGTCGACGGAAAGATATTTCCCAAAACTCCGATTAAAATGTTAGAAACAGGAGATTATAAAAAGGGTTTGAATTTAATTATAGGCAAGACTCAAGACGAGGGGTCTATACTATTGGCGGCGTTAGTCGATCCGATCACTTATAATATAATTAATCCCAAAAACTTTACATATAATGAAGCATTTGATGCATTGAAAAAGTTATCGTCGAGTCTTAGACTTAGTAAACCGCTTAACGGCGAAGACGTCTCCCGAATGTATTTCACGGGTCTCTCCACTCATACCCACAAAGACTTATTGATCCGAGAAATTGGTATCGCTTTTGGAGATTATGTTATCACTTGTCCGACCATTCAGTTTGCAAAGAATGTCATTTCAAGTGATAAAACCGGAACAAAAGTCTTTCAATACTATTATAACAGTAAATTAGGAAAACCTAAGACACCCTGTTTGGGTAAATGGATGGGTGTTTGTCATGCAAATGATATTATGCCAGCATTTGGTTTGCCATTCCTTCAGCCAAATGAATATTTAGATCGCGAGAGAGACATATCCTCACAAATGATGGACTCTTTTATTAGTTTTGCCAAAAATAGGTTTGTTTTATGAAATATAAAAAGTGATAAAACTAAATGTACTATAATATTTAATGAATTGTGCAGTAACCCGGGTGTTATAGACGGCGCCCAATGGCCGCAATACTATTCAATGGGAGCCAATATAATAGCGCCGTATTATGAGTACACAAATGAACCGAAATCTGTCACTAATTTCAACATTGGATTAAAGATCGATGAATGCGATTATCTNGCCCAATGGCCGCAATACTATTCAATGGGAGCCAATATAATAGCGCCGTATTATGAGTACACAAATGAACCGAAATCTGTCACTAATTTCAACATTGGATTAAAGATCGATGAATGCGATTATCTGTGGAATCAATACAACCATTAAATATGAAATTATTTCTATAATGTTTTTATTAAATTTTTAAAGCAAACAATTTATTTATTATTTTGTTTATATATTGTATTTGAGTGAAATAAATACCATAATTATAAATATTATAAATTTTTAAAGATTTTATCGACAATTCAAACAATTATTTAAAACTAGACTTAATAATAAAATAAATATTTAAAAAACAGAACTTAATTACATAATGCATTCATGTTTACTAACTATTATGTTAAATACAGTATATTTCCAAACATTTATAATATAGGAAATTAGCAATAACAATAATTTGCTTAATGCACTAAAATGTAATGGCATTAATAATTAATAATTTTAATATTAAAATATTCATACATGTAAATGTAAACCATGTAATGATATGTAAATTATAATCATGTTCACGTCCGTTTCTATTTGAATAATTAATATATTAATGTTTCAATATACATGTTTCAACATTAGATTATCAGTTTTTGTTGATATCATTTACAGTAACTATAGTTTTATAAAACATTTTTTATTTCAGTTAAAAATGTCGAAACAATTGTCGGGTTTAGAGATACTCTTGAATTATCACAGAATCACTGGAAACGTATACATGGGTTGGAGTATTGATAAAACCATTCATGGACTCAAGAAATTACTACTTATTATATGGAATATTGTATTCCTAATACTTCATGCATATTATTTTTATCTCTCAATTATTTTACTGCTTTTCATCAGAAATCATGAAACAATTGAATCGATGGCAACAACTAATACAACACAACAATCAAACCTCACAGACGATCACCAAACGGATCAATTGAATCGTTCAAATCTATTATCCTTTATATCAAATCTAGCCAATGGTTTATATATCATTCAAATACTATTTGCTTCAATAGTATTGTCGTTCAACGGATCCAAAATACTTCAAGAATTGAATGTCAAAACGTTTGTGAGTATTGATCGCCAGTTTGAGCGAAGAGTCGGTATTATATTAGTTATAATTCAAATTGTTATAACTGTCCATTGCGTTACAACCACGTTAGTTATTAATTTACGTTTTATGATTGAATTTAAATTTGGCCTAGTTTATAGTATATCTTTAATTGCACTAACTGGTTTTGCAACCAATACACAGTTAACATTTTTATCACTTATTGTATACAAAAGTCTATTAATTTCCAACCAATTTGCTGTAGTTTTTAAGCAGAATATCTGCTTTGAATCTGTTTTTAATTATATCCATAGCATTAAGGAATCAATTAAATTATTTGATAGTTTTGTAAATTCATTTTTATTTCAATCTTTGTTTTGTTGTATAATCATATGTGTCTCCAGTGCTAGTAATATAACGTATAAAAATTTATTTCGTAATATTAAATATTTAAATATGTTATATATGGGGATATATAACGCAATATTAATGCTGGTCATATGCTTTATATGTAATATAATTCCCAAATCTTTCAATAAATTTTGCGATTGTTTAGAAAGAATCAAAAGTTTAAAGCCTTTAAATGATTATAAAATGATCGATAGATTAGTTTTGATTCAATTGAAGGATTTGGCGTCAGATATGAGTTTCACTGCTTTGGGGTTATATCGAGTGAATGCAAACACTTTCCTTTCATGTCTGGCACTCATTATCTCCTATTCTGTTATCATTACACAAACCAATGTCTGAATTGTATTTAATTAACACGTGATCTAAACGTAAATTATCTGTTAACTTATCTAAAATGTAAAAACAATTTTTTATTCAAATATTTTATCATTGTTAGATTTAATCAAATATTCCACTTCATTTGTATACTGTATAAAATCATTGTTAGATTTAATAAATACATGTTAAATACAAGATTCATAACAAGAAAATTACAATTCTTAATAAATTTCTTAATAAAAAATCGTAAATTTATTGTTTTTAAATCGTTTGTATACTTGTAATCAATAGATTATGTTATAAGTTATAGAATACTCTGTAAGTTAAGTTCCGATTGAGAAGTTGGCTCTAACACTTGTCTGTCCAATCATCTCAACGACCAATAAATTAGATATCGTTCCCCTCTTTGTTGTCGACGGAAAGATATTTCCTAAATCTCCGATTGAATGCAATTATCTATGGAATCAATACAATTATTAAATATAATTTCATTTTTATAATGTTTGCATTACATTTTTGAAGCAAAAATTTATTTATTATTTTATTCATGTATTGAATTAGATTAAAATAATTACTACAAGTTTAAATCTAAAATAAATATTAATTGGAATAAATAAAATTCATAATAAAAGAAGTGATAATAATATAATTTTAAAATGCTTTTTTAATTGTTTTTCCGTTGCATTCTTTGTTGATCACATCCCATATGAGTGCATCACTTGATTGCTGAATATAACACTGGAAAACAATACAAAATTTAATTACATAATGCATTCATAAATTTACTAACTATTATGTTAAATACAGTATATTTCCAAACAATTATTATATAAGCAATATTGCAATAACATTTGCTTAATGCAGTAAAAATGTAATGACATTAATAATTAATATTTTTAACATTAAAATATTCATACATGTGAACCAAATGATATTTCAACACTTGATTATCCGTTTTTGTTGCTATCACTTGTTGTTTTATAAAACATTGTTTATTTAACATTAGTTAAAAATGTCAAAACAATTGTCGGGTTTAGAGATACTATTGAATTATCACAGAATCACTGGAAACGCATACATGGGTTGGAGTATTGATAATACCATTCATGGATTCAAGAAATTACTACTTATTATATGGAATATTGTATTCCTAACACTTCACGCATATTATGTGTTTCTCTCATTAATTTTGCTGCTTTTCATCAGAAATTTTGATACAATTGAATCGATGACAACAACTAATACAACACAACAATCAAACCTCACAGACAGTCACCAAACGAATCAATTGAATCGATCAAATCTGTTGTACATTATATTGATTCTCGCCAGTGGTTTACATATCATTCAAATACTATTTATTTCAATAGTATTGTCGTTCAACGGATCCCAAATAATTCAAGAATTGAATGTTAAAAAGTTTGTGAGTATTGATCGCAAGTTTGAGCGAAGAGTCGGTATTATATTAGTTATAATTCAAATTGTTATAACTGTCTATTGCTTATCGACCACGGTAGTTATTAATTTACGTTTCTTAATTGAATTTAACTTTGGCCTAGTTTATACACTATGTTTAATTCCACTAACTGGTCTGGCAATCAATACACAGTTAACATTTTTGTCACTTATTGTATACAAAAGTCTATTCATTTCCAACCAATTTGCTGTCGTTTTTAAGCGTAATACTAATATTAATTTTGAATCTGTTTATAATTATATCCATAACATTAAGGAATCGATTAAATCATTTGATAGTTTTATAAATTCATTTCTATTTCTATCTCTGTTTTGTTGTATAATCATATGTGTCTCCAGTGCTAGTAATATAACGTATAGAAATCTATTTCGGGATATTAAATATCTAAATATGTTATATCTCGGGATATATAACGCAATATTAATGCTTGTCATATGCTTTATATGTAATATAATTCCCAAATCTTTCAATAAATTTTATAATCGTTTGGAAAGAATAAAAAGTTTAAAGCCTTTAAATGATTATAAAATGATCGATAGATTAGTATTGATTCAATTGAAGGATTTGGCGTCAGATATGAGTTTCACTGCTTTGGGTTTATATCGAGTGAATGCAAACACTTTCCTCTCATGTCTGGCACTCATTATCTCCTATTCTGTTATCATTACACAAACCAATGTCTGAATTGTATTTAATTAACACGTGATCTAAACGTAAATTATCTGTTAACTTATCTAAAATGTAAAAACAATTTT